GTTGGAGTTGATCGTCTGATTATTTCGTTATAAAGATGATGATTAAAGGTCCAGGATAGGTGGCAGTCATTTACAGCTCGACCAGGGGAATACGCTAAGAGAGGTAAGAAATCTTGCCGCAGCTCCAGAATTTCTTACCGGGCTCATTTCGGATCATGGTGATTCGCAATGTCATGAAAGAAATGAATATTGTCGCGGTACGAGGGCTCCTGACGAGCTGCCTCGGCCAGCTTCTGGAGTTCCGCAGCCTAGACCTCTACCTACACAATGGTGCCCATAACGAAGAATTGTAGTGGAGCTTCCGTAAGAGCCCTACCTGTAATGGAGTGTAGGGACGCTGCTGGCTTCTTATAAAAATATCAAAAGATCGAAGCGCTGGTAAAGGTGAAACACGCTGTAGCGGTGAACGGCATGCCTATTGAAGCTATTGCAGATAGTGTCGGTCGTTGACACGAATCCATAGTTTTGGAGACATTTGTACTAGACAGTGACTCGGAGTACGGATTTACTAGTGGTCGAGGTTTTTTGAATTTTCTTGGATAACTACTGACTGCAGCACTTATATCCACCTCGTGGATTGAAGCCTCGAGAATGCTCTACCATTTGTTAGTCATAAATGTTACCTATGAATTTTTCAGAAAAAAAGAAAATTTTAGAAAGAGTGTTGCAGAACTTTCTTTCCAACCTAATATTGCGCTCACTAACTTTGACTTTCTCCCCTTCCCATTTCGATGCACCACAAATCGTTCCTAAAGTGATAGATAGGAGGTCCCTTCGATTGAGAGCGGAATCTGTTTGGAAATTATTATATCTGATTGGAAATGCCATTACGGTAAAAACCGCAAGATGCGTGACCCACACATAAGAGGGAGAATGGGGCCTTCCTTCTTGGGAAGGAGGAACAAGGTAGGTCGAAGATTCTGGTAAGTGTGAAGAGTGTGGGGTAGAACAGGACTTCTATGTTCGGATCATGGTGAATGCTTCTTAACTGAGAAATTTTTTAATGGGTGCTGCATAAGCGTAGAAATTAAGGTAAGGGGGATCGGATTTATGAACCAAATATCACATTTTAGCTGTTACAATAATAATTCATTGACGTTGTATCAAGAACAAGAATGAACACATGGGCTATTAAGGC